CCCCCCCCCCCCCCTTTTTATTGTTGCTTCTTGCAAACCTTGGTGTCATGGGGGAAACTGGGCTTAATGAACCTGCAGAGTTGATCCAGGTTGTAAAAACAAGCTTCAATCTGCAGCTTGTTTGCTTATGGTGGGACAAATCCTGCTCTGGGGGTGCAGGAGCCCCCCCAAATCCCAGCTCTGCCCTTAAGCAGTAATTTCATCTCCTCCTTGAGAAGCAGTCCCGGAGGGGGCTTTTCATGGGAGATGCTCGCTCCCTGCTCCCAGCATCTTGGGAGCAGAGGTTATAGGGTGCTTTGCCCTGAACCCCTCAGTGCTGCTTTCCACACCCGCAGATGACTTCGTCAGTGGGTTTTGGTGTGATCCTGCAAACTCCTGACTTTTCCTCTTCCCTGGCTTGTGGGGGGACTTCGTGTGCAGCAGGTGCTGCTGCCTTTGCTTCGGAATGAAGAGGGGGAGGTCAGGAGCCTAAAAATAACCTTAAACCGCCTCCTTGGCTTGAATGTTAAAGCTGCCTTTGCTTTAAAAGCAAAAGGGGCTTCTTCGGCTTTCTGGTGAGGGTGTTTATGATCTTTGTGATGGATTTATTATCTGCAGGCTCCAGCTCTGCAGAGGAAAGGGTTTGTGAAGAGCTGGAGCAGCTCCGCAGCTCTCCCCGAGGTGGTGGAGGTCGGGGTGCAGGAGGGGCTTGGGGAGAGTGGGGGTTGGATCGGATGAGTAGTGGCCTCACCATGTCTGGGCTGGGAGGAGGAAGGAAAAGGCTGTCAGAAAGAGATGGCTGAGCGGGATGAAAATCTTACTCCGGACTTTTCCCTGCCCGGGCAGGGGCTTTCCTGAGAGGATGAGGAGACTGGTGGGTTGTGAGTTCACCAGCCACCAGGCTTCCCTCATCAGTGCAATGAGTTCAGCATGCTCAGTCCCCTGGGGCTGAGGCTGTCCCAGGGGAAGGGTGAGCAGTGACTTCCCAGAGGTCCCAGCCTCTGGCTGGGTGGTCCAGGGTGTGTGTGGGCTCCTCAGCACTTGAGTTTGGGGAACTTAGGGACAGCTCTGCTTTTCCAGAAAGCTGTTTGAAGTTTTCAAAAAGCTCTGGGCAAGGGCTGCCCAGGGCATCTTTGGTGCTCGGAGGGCTCTGAAGTGAGAGGTGAAGGAAAGGGATGGGACTAGCTAGCACCTTCCTAGCTGAGCACAAGTGGCTGCAAACCAACATTTTTCATCTCATTTTAGGGCTGGGACACTGAGTTTGGTGGACTTTGGGGCTGAAGTTGGCTGGCTCGGCTTGTGATGAGGTGAGACCTCTCTGAGCATCAACTGAAGCTGCTAAATCCACATTTGGGAAGGTCATCCTTTCTTTGATGTCCTCCAAAGCCATCTCTGTGCCACCTGGCTTTGCAGAGACCAGCCCAGCAGCCACCAGTGAGGCTTGAAAATGGCAATTGAATTAGAGGAGATCTCAATTAAACAACTCTTCCCCCCCTACCCCCCCAGCCCAGGGGCTCCCTGAACAATTGTGAAATGAGATCTTTATCATTTTTATTAAAAGCTGTACACAAGGCATCACCATTAGGCTGGATGGGAGGAGGGGAGGGGGGTTTAATTCCCTTATGGCTCCCCTCTTCTTCCTCCCTGCCCCCCCCCCCCAAGTTTAATTCATAGTCGTGGGATGCAAAAGCTCCCCAGAGAGTGATGGATAGTGGGAAATTAAGAATATGAAGGAGCTTTATTGAACCCATCAATCTCAGGCGAGGCTGCTGCGATCAAAGGCCCAGCCTGTTCCGGCAGAGGTTATGAGGAGAGCAAAGAGATCAGGTTTCGGGGAAACCCAGGGCACTGAGGGGCTGCAAAGCCAGCGAGCTCCTGGCTTGGCCCCAGACAGAGGAGCCAGCGCCCGCCGAGCAGGGTGGAGAGCGCTGGCCTGGCCCTGGCTGGGGATGCGGATCCTGCTGAGGTTTTGGCACACCTGCATCTCCTCCTCCTCCTCTTCCGGGACACTGGGATTTGCAGCCTGCACAGGAACAGGGGGGTTAACTCTTCCCTGTGCCGCTGTGAGGCTGAAGACCTTCATTGCACTCTTCGCCCCTGCTGAAATGCCCATCCCCAGCGGGATCTCTCCTCCAGCACAGCACCAGCCCTGTTGGCCAGGGCGATAAGAGACCCACTGGGTGCAGGCTTGGGTGTCCCCATGTCACACCATCACTCATTCAGCCTTGTGCTGCCCAGCAGATGGGTTGGAGGCTCTGAAGCACCTGATTTCTCCAGACTGTTCATGAATGGTGACCAAGATGTTGCCACCCTGCTCGGTGGACCACAAGAGGAGACCTTCCCCTGGAGTGGCACAGCATCCATCTCATGAAGATGAGCAGGCTGGGCTGGAGGACTTGAAGATGACCTGGTGCTGGGACAGTGTTAACCCACCTTGGTCCCATACCCAGCCAGAGACAGGGTCCAGGTGTGCATGATCTTCCAAGCAAGGATGTGCTGGAAGGGAGCTGACACACCACCCAGGGAGCTTGTCAGCTTGGTCTTGCAATGTTGCAGCCCAGAGCAGATTCAGGCTGTGGCTTGCCCGGTGGAGTTACCTGATGTCTTTGTGAACCGTGCCTCTCACTGAGCGTTTCTCTCCTTTCCTTCCTGCTTTTCTGTGGCCGCCGTGTCCCCAAGCAGCTGCAAATCAGGGCATTGGCAAGGTGGCATCTGCTGGCTCGTTCAGAGGTGGATCATAAAATGCTGCCTGGCTGAGCTGGTGGGTAGGTAGATCTTGCTTTCTGCCGGTTGCCCTTCTTTGGGTGGCTCCCAGGGAGGTGAGGGCGGCACAGGAAATCCCACAGTGGCTTTTGGAGCAGGTCCTCCATGCAAATGCTGCTTTCTGGGGGAAAGAGCATCCCCAGAAGGATGCTGCCCCATGCCAAGGCTGGTGTGGCTCGCTCTACCTGCCCAAACCCCAGCCCCAACTTTCAAGCCCTCCCAGCCTTCGGTGACCCTATGGGAGGGGAAGTGGGCTTGCAGATGTGTGTGCACTGCCATGAACTTTACAGGCTCCTTCTACCTTTTTACGGAGTGTTACATTCCTGGGAGGTGAGGTCAGAGCAGCTTCCCCTCACAGGCGAGACCAAGGGATGGCTGGAGAGTCGATGCCTTGAGGCTGGGTTGCACTGGGTGGGTGGAGGATGGGGTATGGGGTCTGTCTGAGTTAGATGCTTGCCTGGGGTTGGTGGGCTCTATCCTTCCTCTGTTGCAGCCTGTGCTGGTGGGGAGCAGGATGGTGGTGGCACCCTGATGTGGACCAAATGCTGGGGTGGAGGGGGACCTGCTTTCTAGTTGTGTTTTGGTCCTCTGGAAAGGGAGATGAAGGTCCCAGGCCTCATGTCCTGATCTACAGGGAGTCTCTGGAGGATACCCAAACCCTGGCTGGGAAGGCGATACCCAGTGGAGCGTGAGGCCATGGGGCAATGTGGCCATGGTGGCAAATTCCACTTGTCTGTCCAGAGATGGGGCTGCCTGCAGGGCCATAGCCCTGATTTGGGGAATCTCTTTGAAGCTGATGTGTTATATCAATCATGGTCCCAGCTGTACAAACAGCAGCCTGGAGAAAAACTGCTGACTCAGTTACCCATCTCCTACCCATCCCCTCTGAGCCACCGAGCAGCTCTGGGGGGTTTGGTGACATCCCCGAGCTGATGGGTGAAGTGTCCCCGGGTCCTTGGCTGGTTCCTGGGTCTTGGAGGCTGAACATTGCTGCCTGGTATCTGGGGACGTCTTTGGGCACTCCCTTTCTGATAGTGATTGTAGATGAAGCACTTGTGCGATGTAGTTCTGGGACAGAAGCGGAGGGTGTGGGGCTGTCTGGGCCAAAGTCATCAAAAAATAATGGGGAGAAGGAGAAACAAGAACTTGTTGGGTCTGGCACCACAGCAAATCCCTCTTCATTTTTATTGCTACAAAGGGAGAGGGGCTGTGGTTTCCTCACGGGGCTGGGGGAGGTGGATGCTGTGTGGGGCATCTGGTAGCACAGAGGAACATCAGGGACATGGGTCATGGACTCCCCAGCCACAGTGCGATCTCATCCCTGCTTTGCCAGCCAGCCCGTGTGTCAAGCCCAAAACTTGACCCTTGCGCTGGTTTTTGAGTCATTGGCGTGAAAGCTGTTAAACAACCCAAACAAAGGCTCCGCGTCTATCAGCATCCCGCAGCGGGCAGGGAGCGGCTGGGGGATGATTAGGTGTGCCCTGAGCACTCGGGCTGTGAGGCAAGGGGGGTTTCTTCCCTTCTCCCTCCCTCCCTGTCCAGATAAAAGCTGGATCCTTGGAGTCACAGCTGGATTTTGAAAGCACCTGGTCCCCACCGGCTGCTGGGGTGACCTGAGAAGATAAAGCCTCTCAGCTCAACACCTCCATCCCTGCATTTCCAAGAACCTGGGAGGACTCACACTGGGAAAATCCAATTGCTTTTTGCCTCCAGCTGCCTCTTGCCATCTCTCTCCAGCTGACAGAGGGAAGAAGGATCAGCCATGGCAGCCAACAGCTCTGGTGGGATGCATGATGCTCCGCTGGACAACGGCTTTGGTGGCACTGATGACCTTGTTTCTGACTGGTACATCTATGAAACCATGGAACCAGACACGCCGCAGGATGAGTAAGTGTCCAGCCCTGCTAGTGGATGCCAGGTGTCCCCCTGTCCCTGCTGGGGTCACCCTGGGCAGCTGTCAGACTCCTGTCTGGCTGCTCTATCCCCTTTCTGTAGACCAACATCCCCTGAGCAGCAGAGCCAGTATTTATTTTTGGGTGAATGGGAGGTGGTTAAAAAGCATTGTTTTGGCCCCCTAAAAATGCTACATTTCTTTAGGGTGCTTCTGGAAAGAACTGGGGTAAATCCTGCAGCAGGCATCTCTGCTAGTTACGCTCCCTTTTGCTCTTTTCCCCAAGTGCAAGGTCAAGTGCATGGTGTTAACCTTCTGCCCTGACCCCTCTGAAGCTCCCAGAGCCTTTGCTGGCTCCATGTTTCTGGGTTTGAAGATATCCTCACGACACAGCCTTGCAAATCAGTCTGCTGCCTTAATCCTACCCCAGCTCTACACAAGCAGCTGTGCAGATTTTGGCTAGGGGTGGAGAGAGTTATCAGCACACCCCGATCTACTGGCAGGGAAGCAGGGCTAGGATGCTTGGATGGGTCCCTGCATGGCATGGCCACTCTGAACAGGTTTTCTACCTGCAAAATAGGGCTGGATTTGCATGGATGTCTTCCTCCGCTCCCCTGCACACCCCCATTGGTGTATCAGTGGGTCTGGTAAAGCCTATCCCTCTCCATCCATGATGATCTGCTCTTTAACTGAACGTACTTCTAAGACCAGTGCTGTGTTTGCCCTGGAGATGGGGTCCCAGGGCCCAACCTTGCAGGAAGGACCCAGCACTTCATGCCCTCCTAGCTGAGTGCCCTTCCCAAGGACAAGAGAAGTGCTATAGGGAGGGGAAACTGAGGCATGGAGCAGCAGGGCAACTTATCCAAGGTGTTCCACAAAGCATGAAGTTGAGCATCCCAAGGCCCACCTATCAGCATCTATTGTCCTTCTGTTGACTTAGTCCTCTGCAAGTGGGTTTTACACCACTCAGTTGACTGACACCTAATCCTGAAGGCAAGCCAGAGGAGATCCCAGAGGTGACCAGCCCAAAGAGTTCCTCCTTGTCCTTAACCTTCTGCATTGTGAAACAGCCTTTGAAATCTCCTTGCCCAGTCCCTGTTTCCCCAGGCAAAACCCCATCTGCGTGACCCACACCTCTGCTAGAAACCTTTGGGGTATTTTCTGGGTGTCTTCCTTTGCAGCAAGCCATGGTCAGTGAAGGGATGGAGGCAGCACTGGGGCGGGGGCGGGGTTCCCATCCGACAGCTGGTGGATGCTCAGGATTTAGATGCTGAACACTGGTTGATACCAAAAAGGGTTTTGGTATCCCTGTGCTCCCAATCTTGCAGGCGGGTGCCCTGGATCTCCAGAGCCTGGATATCTTTGGACAGCAGGAATTTTCTGGTCTACCCAAGGCCAGCTGCTGGCAGAGAATGAAAGGCAAAAAATCAGAGCTTTGCTAATGGCAGCTGGTCCTCTAAAGCCTTTTCTGGCAGGCTGGTGACAGCCTTGGACATATGATGTCCGAGAAATCCTAATTTCATTATCAGACCTTTCTCTGCAGCCTTGCTCATGGGAGTTCTGCAGCTGGTCTCCTGTCTCTGCCCACCCCACTGGCACTGCAGGGTCTAGGAGGGCATGAGGGCTTGTGTGGGGTCCCCCTCCATGAGTTACGGGGCTCAAGGGGCTCCCCCTCTCTGAGTTATGAGGCTCAGGGTGTTCAGCTCCCCAGCGCAGGGATTTGCTGCCCGTTGTTGGGTAAAGGTGGCTGGGCACAATTATGCCTGACCTTGGGGAGAGGAGGAGGACTGCAGCAAAGCAGAGATTAAGGGATGTAATGGAGGCCAGAGAGTGAATAAATAAAGCAAATCCTGGCATGCCTGCTCGGCTGACCTTGTCTTGTGGGGGATGCAGCTCTGGGACCCTGGGCGGCCATCACCTCTGCTGTCCCCCCAGCTCTGGGTCTGGTGCCTTCACGGGGGCATGGGAAAGGTGTTGAAACACCCTACAAGGGGTCTTCAGCCTCCCAGGTGTCATTTAATAAGTGAGTGCCTTAGGCAGCAAGGAGAACTGCTGCTTTGCAGGCTGCCTCCCTTGAAAAGACAGAGCCAGAGCAGATATGCGTGTAAAAGAGCTAAAGGGCGGCCTCATCCTTCCTCGTTGATCTCCTGTTCAGCTTTGGCATCCCTGTACATGCAGGGAGGTCGCCCAGACCCTGTAGGGATCAGCTCAGGGCCACTCCTGGCTCTTATCTCTCTTGCTTGATCATAAAGTCCTCTCATGAGGGTGACTTCATCCCTGGTTATTGACAGTTGTGTAACCCAGCTCTTCAGGGGTTTGGCCCTTCTCAGCATCAGACCAAAACCTTCATGTACGTGGCATCTTTGCTTTGCCTTTTTGTGACTGAATACCACCATGCATGATTTCTTTTCCCCCTCTCTTTCTAGCATGCTTTCCAGCGTAATCCCAGACTGTGACCCCACCATTTCTCCCAGACTATATCACATCTGCATGGCACCCGTCTCTGTAAGTATCTACCGAGTCCCATGAGGTAGGTTATCTGTTCCAATGTTGTATTTTCTGTCCCAAGCTTGAGTAATGCCCATCTACTCCCATATAGCAGGTCTGGGTTCTTGGTTTGAGCTGGGATGCTCTAACAAGGAACTTGCACATTTCCAGACTTTGTTTCATGTCTGTAGTTAATGGAAGGCATTGATTTATTTTTTCCACCATGGTCACTCTAAGGTGTTTAGAGCTCATAACTCATCCGAGCAGGCTGAGAATTGCCTGTCCCTGCTTCAGCCATGGCTGGATTTAGGTTGTTCGGTGGAGGTAGTGTCTCCATGGAGGGTCCCAGCACATAGCAGTATGTCCGAGGCCCCCTCCCCAGGCCTCCCTGCCATGTATTTATTGCTCCATTGATTGTGTTTCTGGCAGCTGGCGGTGCTTGTGGGCTTGTCCTTGCTGGTGAAACGCAGGCGTCTCCACCGGAGCTGCTGGAACGGTGTCCCAGGACTGCTCAGGTACCCTGGCACTGCACCCTGGTCACCAGGGTCCCTGTCACCCTGCAGCCAAGTGGGTGGAGGGATGCTGATGTGCAGCATGGGATAAACCAGCTCTGGGGCAGAGGATGATGGGGACAGAGTGCCCATGATCTGGTATCAGGCTCATTCCTTTCTTGGCTTGCAGCCCAGCCAACTTTCTGGAAGAGGAAGGCAACCAAGGGCTGGTGGCTGCAGTGTTTGGCATCCTGTTCTCCTCCCTGTGTGTGCTGATCTTGGACAAGGACCCTCTGCCACTCGTTGCCCACTCCTCTCAGAGCACCCGGGGTAAGACCAGCACCCTCCTGGCCTGTGGGCACCACACTCTGCCCCACCCAGGGGGCATGCAGCTTTGGTGGCGCCCTGAGCGTCCTGTTCACCCTGGTCCATACTGAGAGTGCTGCCTTCTCTTGCCTGTTTTGCTCTCCCTTTGCTCTTCTCATCATCCCACTTAGAGTACTGGAAGATCCTGGCTTTGCTCTACTACCCTGCCTTCTACTATCCCCTGCTTGCCTGTGCCACTGTGGGGCACAGGATCAGCTACCTCGTGGGCTGCCTGCTCTCCTGGTGCCACTGCGTGGTCCACGTCTGGCAGAAGGTGGATTGTCCCCAGTCTCCAAAGGTATGTGTCCCACTATCTGGGGAAGGAGCAGGGAGGCTGGTGTGGCCCAGGGTTGGGGGTGGCTTTCTCATCACCCCCCCAAAGTGACATTAAGGTGTCAGCCACCCAGGACTAGGCCCCCAGGCTGGGATGGTGTGGCGTGTGACATCTCTGCTTCTCCCCAGATATACAGGTACTACTCCATGCTCTCTTACATCCCCATCATCCTCTGCCTTGTGCTCTTAAGCCTTTGGTATCCAGCCCTGCTCATCAGGAGCTTCACCGGGCAGGAGGAGACTTTGAGTAAGGAGGTAATGAAAATCCACGGAGTGACTCGTGGTGGGGGTAGTGGGTAGCATGGGAGAACCCCTTGATGGACTTGCATGGCTTTGGGAGCTCTTGTGCCCCACAGCCCATCTGTCTGCCTTGGGGAACAGGAAAACTGGGGTGCTCCCAGGGCGTGTGTTCCCCACTTTGCTCCAACACCAGGAACTGCCTCCCCTCTGTTCCTCTGATGGCATGGGACGCAGCTCTGTTTATCTCGCTGGATTTGAAGAGGGAGTGAAAAATCCATCTTTAGAGTAAACTCCTTATTACAAGAGGCTTAAGGCATCAATGCATCTCGTTCAGGCCAGGACTGGGGTTGCCTTGTTTTCCTCCCAGGCTGGATAATCCTTGGCCTTTTGGGAAATGCCAAGGCTTTGTTGGGAAGAGAGGAGGAAAAACCTACTTCAAAAAAAAGCAGTCAGCCCAGGCATGGACTGAAGTGACCCCCAGGCGCTTGCTGGGAGCTGGCTGATGGGAATGAGGGTTCTCAGCTGTCCTACCAGCGTGACTGGTTTTGGGCTGTTTTCTTGACGGGAACAAGGCATATTTATTTCCACCTTTGTAGTGGCTGAAGATTTGCTGCCAACATCACTGTAACACATTTGTTATCCAAACAAGGGCTGGGAACACGTCACCTTCATCCGGAATGGAGGGTTCTGCAGGGCATTGTACTGGTGATGGTGGGTGGCCAGGGAGGGGTAGCAGAGCAAGGAGATGGCTGCCGGGTGGGCTGCAGGTGCTCTTCCCCCCACCAAAAGGCAGAGTCACCTCTCCTGAGTGCCTGAGAGTGTCCCTGTGCACAAATCAGGCAACTTAATGTTGTTTTCCTTAAGGTTACAGGGAGAGGTTATTACAAGAAGTACCTAAAGGCTATCCTGTCCAAACGCCCTCGGAAGGGAAGGTAAGGCCAACATTTTCCCGTGGCTCTGCCTGGTCAGCACGCACTTGAGCCAGCCCTCTCTGGCTCTCTGCTGCCTGCAACAGGGGCAGAGAGCATCCCTGCTCCTGAGGGACATGCTTTTCACCCTCTCCTTCATCCTCCAGCTCCGCGAAGATAGAAGAGAGCCTCCTATCAAGGGTCCATATGTATTTACGCTCCTACATCTACGCTCCTGAGGAAGGTGGGCTGTGGGCGTGTGCAGGCTGTGCTCTTGGCCGCAGCAGCAGCTTGGCAAACACGCTGCCTCCCCCTCCCCGGAGAGAGCAAATGCCTTTCTTGGCTCCTTCCCCAAAGAATCTGTGCTGCAGCAGCTGCCGTCCGCCGCACGTGTGATGCCTTGGCTTTGCACAAACTGTTGTGGTTTGGGGTGGGGAGCTGACCCCCCCCACCATGGGGGCATGGGTGGGCTGAGGCAGCGAGGTTCAGGCATGGGTTGTTTTAGTATTATAGCCTGATGCTTGATAGGGCTACGATAAGGGACTAAAACCCCTAACAGCCCAGGAATGGGGAACTACCCCTGTCCCCCCAGCCCATGGAAGAACCAGGGGCTGTCCTGGGAGGCAGCACCCCAAGGGATGGGGCTCCCCACGCAGCAGGCACCTGGCTGCTGGGCTTAGTGCTGCGGGCACAGGCCTGCAGGAAAGGAAGATCAACAGGAAGAAAACCCCTCCAGGCAAAGCACAGAGAAACTGCTCTCAGCTATACATCCTTGCAGGATTTCCCTGTGGAAATCCCAGTCAATATTTGACTGCACTGTTCCAGTGCACTCCTCAGAGTGTTTGCTTTAGCTGCTGGGTTGAGTGGACCTACAGCCTGCTCCTCTCTTCCTGTGTGATCCCACATCCCAGCTCCTCTCCAATACACCCCTCTGATTCTGCCTTACAGGTTTCCAGATCCCACTGAAGCTTGTCCTGTCCATAACGATGGCCGTGATTGCTGTCTACCAGGTGATGCTGATGGTTAAATGCCAAGCAGAGCTCCCTTCCTGCCTCCTTGAGGCAGGGCAGAGGAGCCCAGAGGTCATTGCCATGCCACAATTTTGGCTATGGGGATGGTATTAGCGTGCCTCAAGGTATTAACCACCCCTTGGCTGAGCAGCGGCAACTGGCCATGTGCTACCAGAGCTCAGCTAGCCTTAAGTCTTTAAGCTAAGATGATGGCTCAGCTAAGCTAAGATGATGGGATGCGGTGACCTGGGGCTCACATGGCACCACTCCCTCTCAGGTTGCCTTGCTGCTCCTGGTAGCTGTCGTCCCCACCATCCAGATCGTGAGGGCGGGAATGACAAAGGATGTTGTGGTGTTGTTGGTCCAGTTTGGCTTGGTGCCCTCGGAGAGCCCGGCTGTCCCGGGTGACATGGAGAAGGAGCTCAACACTGTTAAGTACTACCTGTGGTCACTGGAAGGTGGGTTCCCAACCAGGTCATGCATCTATAGGTGATTTTTGGAGGTTTTCAGAACTTGTCAGAGGGATTTGTAACCAAGAGAATGGTCCAGGAAACGGTTGGTGATGGGGCAGCTTCCAGGGGGATTTAAAAAACAGCTTCCAAAGCCGCAGCCGTGCAGACATGAAAGGCAGCTGCGTAAGCCTGGTGCTGTGCCAAGCATCTCCGAGCAGCCACCACGTGCCAAGACAGTGAGACAGGGAGAGCCGGCAGTACTGCGCTGCAGATGCTGCCCTTCGGCTGTGGGCTTTCATATGTGCTGGAATCAAGCAGATGGCCCCCGGCCCCCTGGATAATTGGAAGCTGTGGATGGGAGGGGTGCAGGGATGGCAGGGGTGCCCCCCTCCCTCCACGGCACTACCTTGGGGCACCACCAAGGGGTGGGGTTTATGGTTTTTCCCGAGTGACTGAGACCCTCTCATCCTCTTTGTTTTCTTGACATCTCCATCCCTTCTATGAGACCTCCTTCCCTCCTTTTGCTTTCACTCCCCAGCATCCCCTTTTCTGACATCATCTTCCTAGGCTCTCTCCATCGCACTGCCTGCTTATCACAGCTTGCTCAGTGATTTTTCCAGTGCTGAGCTAGCCTAACTGCTTGTATTTTTCCCTGGCTGCTTGTCTTTCCCCTTTCCTTTCACTGTCTCATCAGTGCATGCCTGCCTGGGAGGTGGAGATCCCTGTGTCACAAAGGGGGTAGGGATGGAAACTGAGGCACCGTGCCCTGTTGGGGAGGTGCATCCATGCAGCCCCATAACTCAGCCCCAATGGTCCCGAGATACATTTTACAACAAAATCTCATTGCTGAGCCTGACCACAGCCCTGACCCAGCCATCTCCCCCTGCCCCTCCGCAGTCTGCTACATCTGCTCGCTGGTGCTGTGCTGCCTGCTGACCTGCGCCATGCTCCTAAGGACACTGGTGATGCACAGGTATGGTGTCCTCATTCCTCTGGCCTTGACCTTAACACCGAGCTGGCATGCAGCGGATCTCTTTCCACAGGAACAACTTGAAAGCGCTCTACCAAGGGGCTGTGCTGGATGTTTTCTACAAAGCCCATATCCTCCGCCCATCGCGACAAGCCATCGTCTGCTGGATGAGTTTTGCTGCCTTCCAGACGGCTTTTGCCTGCCTGGGTAAAGGGTGTTGGGGGGTGGGACAGGGAGGATGGGTGGTGGAACCCCACCTTGCAGAGCCTACTGCAGGTTTAAGTATCTCTTTCTCCTTTCTTGCCCCATTTTGCAAAGGGACAGCTGCGAGGCTTTTGTTCCTCTTTCCCCAAACACAATCTGTCCTACTGTGGGAAGGACCATGCTGAACACCAAATGGTTGGGAAGAAAAAAAAAAAGGGGGGAGGGGGGGGAAATGATGACTGGTTTTGGCTCAAGATCAAATATTTTGATTTGAGAAGCTGCCACAGCATCTCGTGCAAAGGACTGTCTGTCTCCTTCAGTCCTGGTCTTCACATCTCGGGTGCTCCTCGCTTTGTGTCTTCCCCAGCACAGCCTGGGTCTCCCTGACTGGGAGGGCTGGCCACCCTGTGGGTGGATGGAGGACATCAAAGGAGGTAGAAATCTTCACCCCCACCATGGTTTGGAGACATTTTAAGGCCTCTCTGCCTCACGTGAAGTGACTCTGAGCAGTGTTTGTGGTGATGTATGTGCAGCACCCAACCATATGGGCATGCCAAGGCTACACAGAAGAGTCAAGCTGAGGGCCCAGGGGTGTGATGGAAGGACAGGGGGACCACCAGCTCTGTTAGTGACCATCCCTCAGGAAAGTGGACCCATTTTGCGGGCAGATTGAAGAGAATAGTGTGGTGGTAGGAGCTGGGGAGCACCCCAGGAGCTCCTTGCACAACTTTGTCAGCAAGGAGGAGCTTTCCTTTGGCCACTCAGTGCTTGGTGCACCCCTAACAGAGCTGGCTGCATCCCACTGTGATGCCGTGAATCTACCTCCTGCTTTAAAATCTTGGGTTTCAAGTCATTAAAACAAAGCAGCAGATGTGAAACACAAGCTCAAGCACAAGGAAACACAGCCACTGACAATCTCAGTGTGATTTATGATTAGAAATCAGGACTCAGGCTGATTTTTATGAGGCATCATAGTTGCAGTCCCGAGTGATGGCTTTTCTCAGTGGGGATAATGTGGGGAGTGATAAGAAAGGCTGAACTTGTAATTAAATCCCACGCAGAGCATCGTGTTTGGAATGGAGGAGGCAGGTAAGGATCTCACAGGATTTTTATGAGATTAAAATGAAAGATATGTTCAGCAACAAGCATGGGTTTGGGGAATAAAAGAAAGAGCAAGAACCACTTCTCCCTCTTCTCCTGCCATGGTTTCTCACCCTGTGCTTCCCTCACAGGTCTCCTCATCCAGCAAGTGATATTCTTCATCTGCTCGGTGGGATTTACCTTCTTTGTCATCATCCCACTGCAGTCTGGCACAAACATGTACCTCTTCAAAATCATTCAGAACATGTGGTGAGTCTTGCAGCCCTCAGGGAGGGATGGAAGACCCAAGTGACCATGTCCATGGTGTGTTTTGGGGTACTCTGCCAAGGGGAGGCTCTATCCTGGGCTCTCTCAGCTTCACTGGGCATTTCTGCTTCCTTGGGTGGTGTCTCATGCTTGGGACCCTCCTGGTGTCCAACCTGTCTCTTGCCTCCCACCCAGGCCCTTCTGGCTGACCCTGGTTGTTGCCGTCATAGTGCAAAATTTGGCAGCTCACTACCAGTTCCTGGAGCAGCATTCCCTCCAGAAGGAGCTCACCAACAGGTGTGGGGACACTGGGGGACTCTGGGGCAGACGTGTCCCTCCTGAGGTCCAGGATGCTGGGACAGTGTTGGGTTTACACATGCCCCTGATGTCGTGGCATCCTCTGTGCTGTAAGCTCAAGAGGGAAAGCCTGGGTGGGTTTGGGGGGTTTAAGTGGCTCTATGCTCCCAGAGAGGATTTTTTAGAGGGCCATGGTCCATTTGCAGCCTTGATTTCAGTGGGGTGAGGCTGGTGAGGTCTGTGCCCAGCTCCACCACCCCCATTTGCAAGCCTCAGAGGAAACCCAGATCCCTCAGGATCAGCTGGGCCAGTTCAGACACTGCTAGTGGATGTGGTCCCTCACTCACACATGGTGTCACTGCCTAAGCTGTCTCCTTATACTGCAGACCAGGGTGACAGATGGATCTAGGTGTCCTGCTCTGTCCAGCCAAGGCACTTCCACCACATCCATCATTCCACCTCCCCGCCATCACCTAGCATTATGGGGAGGCTGCTGTAGGCTCTTCTGGCCTCTACCGGAGCTGGTGTCCTCCATCCCAAGCCACCAGACTCATGCTTTGGCTGGTTTCTAAGTCTTCAAGGAGAAAAAGAGACCCTATGTGTGCTGGAGGCCAAGCTATGAAGTCCTAATGGCGTACCAGACTGTCTCCTCTCCAAGAGCCCTGACGGGTGTTTGCTTCTCTCCATGGGACGGAGACACCTCAAACAGGGACTGTGTCTGCTGAGGAGGGAGGGAAGGGTGGGAGGCTTATTTTGGCATGAGATTTCTCTGGCAGGCAAGGGCCGTGCTTCCCATCCCGTGGTATTTGTGTTCCTTACTCCTCCTTCTCCACCCGCAGGCGAGCTCTCTACATAGTCACCTACTTGCTCTTCCCTATCAATGTCCTGGTGGGTGTCCTGGCTGGAGTGTGGAGGATGGTCATTTCTGGCCTTTATAACGCTGTCCACTTCTGCCAGCTGGACATCAGCCTGCTTAACCGCGGTGTGGAGACCTTTGACCCGGGTATGGCACTGGGGAGGTCCCTCTGAGCACCTCCATGAGCATGGGCACCCTCCTCTCACCATGCAGCTCCCAGGGGACATGGCCAGGGGCTTCTGCATCTCTGAAGCTGTCAGGTCCAAGGTTGGCTTCAGGTCCTCACGTTCTCTGTTCAGAAATGGGCAGGTGGGACAATGGGGACAAGTGGCTCCTGATGCCCCCTTAGTCCTGCTCTTCCATCCATTCCCAAGGGCAGGTGATGTCTTGATGGGGTCCCTTGGGCTTCACCAGTGGCCAGACCCCATTCCCACAGGCAGCGGACCCTCATCTCTCCTGTGCTAAAGGCAGGAGGGAGGAGAGCTCAGCCTTTCCTCTGATTTTCCTGCTGGGATCTTGGGAGCAGAGCTCATGCCCAGCTCTGGAGGCAGAGCTGCTCTGCAGGGCAGAGATGGAGTCCAGAAAATAACCTTCCCCTTTACTCCAGGGCAGGAGGGAGTGGGGAACCATGAAGTCTGACCCCACCACATGTGTTTACTGTGGGTTGTGTTTCCCCAGGCTACCACGCTTACTGCCACTATCTGAAAATTGAGGTCAGCCAGTCCCACCCGGTGATGAAAGCTTTTTGCTTGATGCTTCTCCAGCTTACCAGGCCAGAGGGGCCACCAGGGCTCCAGGCCAGCAATGTGGAAGAAGGTGAGATCTTCCCACTGCCAACTGGGGGAATGCATGGCCATGACCGTGGAGGGGCATCAGGGTCTGCTCTGTGGGTTTGCTGCTCCTCTAGAGATGCTGGTGGTGCCTTGCAGTAAAGGGACCATTGACAGTTGTGGCTCTGATGCTCTTTCCACTTTTATGCCATCTCTGCTTGGTATGTGATCATCTCCATCCCAGGAGCTTCTCTCATTCCTCTGCCCATGCACGGGCAGGATGGGGCTCCTCTGCTTTTGCCCCAGTGTGTAGATGGCGTCTGGGCAACTCCAGCAAGGAGAAGCTGGGGCTGAAGTTGTTCCTCCCTTCTCATCTCCTTTCAGGCATCCAGCTGATGCAGCCTAAGAAGGTGCCTCTGAGCAGAACCAGGTTCAAGCAGAGCCGGGCCCGCTGGTGGCTGGCCTACACGCTCCTCAACAACCCCTCTCTGACTGCCTGCCGGAAAACTGCCCTCTCCGACCCCACAGCCAACGGCACCCAGCTCAGCGCCTGCAAGCCCTGACCTCCAGAGAAGCCCCCCCACCTCTCTCTGCCTCCCACACACACTTGTCCTACCCCATCCCTGTCTCCCATTGACTCTCCTCCTGCACTGCAGGAATTTTGGGCACCTCTTGCCCCTCTCCAGCCTCTGGTCCCTCTCCAGAATTTACGGGGGCTGGATTTTAGTTCTACATCCATGCTGAGCCACTACCAAGGTCCAGAGATGAAGACAAATGGGCCACCTCCAAGCCTGACCCGGACAGAAAGGGGTTGATGAGCCAAGCTGAACCCTTCAGGCATCTCAGAAACACCTTAGGAGGCACTCCTGCAATGATCACACCAGTTCTCAACAGTTGCCTATCTGACATGTGGCAAGGCAGGCCCAAGTGCCCAGCACCAGGGCAGTAAGGAAAGAGGGAGGAGATGTGTGTCTGTGTGTGTAGAGGGATCCTCAAACAGATTGAGCACGGGGAACTACCTGCATCTCAGCATGGTCTCCCTGTGGAGAAGGTCCCCACTTCCAACTCCATCTGCAGCTTCTCTCTTTCAGGTCTAATCCTGGGTTCCTTTGGGCACCACACCCAACTGTGGAACTTTTTTCCCCCAATTTTGTGAAGGTTAAAATCCCCATCTGCTCCTGCTCTGGGCTGTGAGGTTGTGGATCTATTTGTTTTCTGCTCACTGCAACTTTCATCCCCCTGGTGCCTCTTGCTGCCACCTCTTGTTTTGTTTAAAGCCAGCAGTTCCCCCAGGGCTGGTGACCCTTCAAGTGAGCTGAGCTTGAATTCATAGAAAGCAGTTTTCCACCTCACTTGGACATGCCGAGTAGAGGAAGGTTAATAAATAACATACCTCATTCCTATGCTCAGGGTGTGCTTGGTCTCTTGGCCATTCCCAAAGAAGTTAAACCTGTCAGGAGGGACATGAGGACTGTCGTATCTCTGGGTGATGGTTGGGACAGACCTTGCTCTGACCATGTGGAGCAGAGGCTTTGCTGTAGATCTGCTTGACCTGGATGTGATGGGATTGAATCTGTGATCCCCCTGCCTCACCTTAAGGAAATTTTAACACAAAGCTGATCAGTTTGCTTTCCCATCAAAAAGTTTGGCCCCTAAACCAGAGCCTCTATGAAGGATGGGAATTGAAATGGGACATTTTATGGCTAAAGCACCAGAGGTAGTTGTCCAAGGTGTTTCTGGATCACCTCTTCCCATGGTGCATCCCTTGAAAATCCTGCCTTTTGTGGCTGGAAGGATGCCTGGCTTCAGCCCTGCGATTGCAGGCAGGGCTCTTGGTAAGTTGTACCAGTAGCCCCTTACTCTTCTTGACACAATCTCAAACATCCCAGCCCTGCTAAAGTTGGCACTTTTGAGACTTAGCAGCCCCTCCTGCACAGAGCAGGGCTGCTGCTTTGTCCCTTCTGCTCCATGGTGTTTGAGGCCCTTGCTCCAGGGATCTCCTTGGGGGGGCAGACCTACTCTTCGCAGGCTTTCAAGGACCCCATGACATCTTTCTGGGGTGCTTGCAGCACCATTGGTGTGCTTTGGGGGTGAGTGAGGCTGAGCCCTGTGCTTTGGGGTTTGTCTGGAATGTCCTGGCACCTCCTCACAACATTGAAGCTCCCTGGGTGGGAGCCATCCCTTTCCCCAGGAGCCTGACCCCCTCCCTTTCTATGCCAGTGAGGAGAGGGGGCTCCCTGCTTCATCTGCTGCCTGCAGGTGCTGCCCCAACAGCCATCCAGCACGCTTGGATGCTCAAAACCCTGTCGCATCCACTGCCCACTAATCAAATACGATTAAACCAACACTGGTTTAATCGTATTTGATTGCTGTCTGGCACATAGTACAATGTCACCAAGCTGGGTGACAGCGGAGGCAGATCTGAGTTGTTCTCTTTTTAAGACAGCGGGAGCCCAGGGTGCAATTCCTGCTGTTTTCTCAGCTCGGCTGTGTGGTGAGCATGCTTGGGTTTGCACAACTCAGCACGGGAGAGATGCAATGCCGGTGGGTGCTGGGTGCCCTGTGTGTATTGGGTGAAGCGATACCTTAAGGCAAAGGCTGCGCTTTTCCTTTGCAGCCCATCCCAACCCATCTCCAGCCACCAAGGCACTGGGGATTTGAAGGCAGCCTTGGTAATCCCTCAAATCTTCGGCCACTCTGGGCCATGGGTGGAGTTGGATTTCAGCATCTGTTTACACAGCCCTGCCCGAGGCTTCCTGGAGATATCTTGGCAGGCGGCGTGCTGGGGCTGAGATGAGAGATGACAGTCCTGAGAGGAAGGCAGGAGGTGGCTTCATTGATTTGCTTGTTTTCTTTCCTTTCTTTGACACAAACAGGGTGCCCTGGGGGTGAACCAAGCCTCTTCATGGTGGCTTCTCACCTCTCCTCTAAACCCTGGCCATGGGTAAGGCCATGGGATAGCTCTGGCATCCACAGCCCTCTCTACCAAATGATGGTGAGGTAGTTCACAATGCTAATCCATCTGAAAACAGCCCTTAATGCAAAATTGCCCATGTGGGGAATGGAAATTCAGATCTGGGTCATGCTGTGGCTTTGCAAATGCGAGGGACAGAGGAGCTGATGGGTGGGGGCTGTGGCATCCAGGACTTGCACTGGCTGGTGGCCATGGTAGGTCACGATGGTGATGCCAAGTGCGATACCACCTGCAGCATCCAACCCAGGAGCCACGTGGCAGGGTGCCCTGTTTGTTATAAATGAGTGATGCTTAATATTGCTAATAATTTGCCATAAAAGCTGTGAGTAAACTTGGCTAACACAGAGGAATTTACCTTTCTGGTGACAAAACAGCCATGCACCAGCAAAGCTGGGGGGAGCAGCAGCTCTGTAATGTGGCCAGAGACTTAGGGCTGCTGAGACCCTAAATCTTATCTTTTATCCTTATGTCAGACTCCAAACCCTGTTCCCAGCTGAGATTGCAGGAATAGGGTCCTGTACCCCACTATTCCCAGGCAGGCAGGGAAAAGAGGACCCCAGCTGGGATAAAAAGTTGCATCCTACGAAATGAAACCGAAACTCTCATTGGGGCAGTGATATTTTTCATCCATTCTGCCTGTAATGGAAAAAATATGCGCCTGCTTGTTAGCATCAAAGGCTGTTCGTGCAAGGAGCTGCTGACTGCTTCTGCCTCGGGAACCCCACAGAGATCTTGGCACCGTACCCGGACAGTGTTGGCATATGGCAGCTCCTCGGCTGACCCTTTCCTTACTCTGCAAGTTGGCTGGACACTGAACCGTGGGGTTGGAGAGCTTGTTGGACCTGAGGCTCCGGGGCAGCTGTTTTCAGCTGATTTTGCCACTGCTGCCTCCCTTTATCTGCTGTCAGCAGTGGGGGGAGGGGGGGGATTTTTGAGTACCCTATAAATGCATCCTCCCTCCAGGGTCATCATGGGGGAATGTTACAGCACAGGGAGGGCTTTGGGGGAGCTGGGGGGAAAGGGGGTGCCTCCTGAGCAAAGAGGGTTGGTGATGAGCTGTGGTACCCCAGATGATGTTGGGACTGGGGGATTTGGGGGTGCACAGAGCCAGCATGCACCAGATTGTTTAAAAAAATGGTATTTATTGCTGTCTGTACAGCTTTGGTTATAAAGCAAGGATGGCTGCAGGGGTCTGTCCAGCTCCAGCAGGCAAGCACTGGCAGAAGACATGAGAGCTGGACCGCCCATGCCTTGGGGTGGGGGAGATCCTCAGCCCCCCGCCATGAGACAAGGGGTTCCCAGCACCCTGGGGCAGCCAGGAATGGTATATATGTCCCGCATGGGAATGCTAAAGCACTTAAAGGAGTGTGTCTATGGCTTATAGGTCAGTTCAGCTTCTCTCTGTCATCTGGGTTTTTCCAATCTTTCTTCCTCTGGCTCCATCATGCAGCCCCTGCTCAGTTTCCCGTCAGAGAGGAGAGCTGGGAGATTATTTTGGTCTCTTTGGGCTCAATCCCTCCCCATCAGGGTCAGAGCCGGAGCAGTGCAGCTTGGTGGGTCCAGCCCAGCCAAGCATTTTGGACCGCAGGCTTCCATGGTGAAAGGGAAAGGGGGAAAAAAAAGAGCTGTGTTACATATGAGATAGGTACTGAGGGTGGCATGGCCTGATCCTGCAACATGCAGGGAAGGTGCAGGCACCCTGGGTGCTCCCAGCACCCAGCCAGAGGAAGCCCTTTGTGCTCCTGCAGGGATGAAGCCTGTGAGAAAGCTTCTTCTGCTCCACAAAATGGCCCGATCCAAGCCCCTGGCCCCATCCAACACATCCTACTGTACCCATCCTGTTTACAAAGCACCATTATATCTCTGTCTCACAGAGCCACATGCACTGGGACCCCAGGACCCCATGCCCAGGCTATTCCCTCACTCTCAGACTGTTCCTTCTGCTCCTAGTGCTTCACATGAGGTTGGTGGTAGGAAGGATGCACCTGGCCAGCTAAGGGCCTGGGCGCTGGTCACAGCGGGGATGTCATCTTTAGTGCCGCTGGACCGAGGGATCCTCTCTGCAAGAGATCCCCTCCCTGGTCACAGCTCGCTGCTGGGGGTGGAGGAGGGCTCATGGTGGTGGGCTGTGGGGATGGGTGATGGTCACCCTGTTGAGGGTGGACTTATCCTGCAGCTGCACTTTGGTCTCAGAAGGGAAATAAATCAGGAGGTGGCAGAATTGGGTGCCTGGAAAGTGGCAGCACAGTGAGGATCAGCTCTACATCACCCGAGCTTGTTTGAAGCTCTCAACTAACGGAGCCCTGGGCTTGAGTCTTGGCCCCCTTTAACTCCTGACCGCCCGCAGTTCCCAGAAGCTCAGCAAAGGTATGGCACTACGTGAAGATAAATGCTACAGAACGAGGGGGAACCCCTGAGGCACTGTTTCCTTCTCCCCCCTTTAACAGCAGAGCACGAGGCCCAAAGACAGCAGGAGGGTCCCCAGGTGGACCTGGGGCACCACTCCTCCAGCCCTGCTCTTCGACTCCCTTGGCATGTGATAAACGATCACCAGCTTTTCTCCAGCACCAGAGGGATCCATTTCATCACCCTTGTAGCAGCTCCGCCCCCCGAGGTGACTGGCTTGGGGGTCATCTCGGAGCAGATCTTCAGCTGGATTCTCTGACCCAGCCAAGGCCACGTTGACCGAGACATCCCGTGTGCCCACGTCATTGACAGCGAGGCAGGTGTAGATGCCTTCATCCTCCTTGCTGAAGTTGGGGATGGCCATGGTGCCGTTCTTGAAGACCAAGAAGCGCTCTTGGCTCTGCTTGACGTTTCCATCCCGTGCCACATTGGGCCCATTGATCTCAACACGGCGGCTGGAGGTCTGGATCTTCCACCTGATCTCTGGTGGAGGGCTGCCCGCCACACTGCAGTGCAGAGTCAGGGTGAGGCCATCGTACATGACGGTGTTGTCCAAGTTGGAGAGGTAGGTGAGCTGCACGGAGGGTGCAACACAGTGGTGGTCAGGGATGTCTGTCACTGCCCTGCCCTTCAGCCTGCCAGGAGCCACACACAGGGTAGACCCCCCCTTGGTGATGGAGACAGAGGTGTTCTCAGTCCACTTCTTCAGCCAAAAAACCTTGCAGGAGCAGTTGAAGGGGTTGTTGAAGATCTGTAGCTGGGACAGGGAGGGCAGGTTGTCAAAGGTGCCCTCGACCAAGGTGGTCAACTCATTGTCATTGAGCCAGAGCGAGCGCAGGTCCTTCAAGGAGCGGAAAGCATCCCAGGGCAGCCCAGCCAGGCGGTTGTTGTTCATCTTCAGGATCTGCAGACCACTGAGGTTACGGAGGTCCTGCCAGGGGAAATCCACAATCTTGTTGTGACTCAGGTCCAGGTTCTTCAGGTGCACCAACAAGGCAAAAGTCCCTGGTTCCACCACCCCGATCTGGTTGTAGCCCAGCCACAGCGACTGCACTTCGGGAACCTCGGCAAAGGAGCCCTGTCCCAACCAGCTGATCCTGTTGGCCGACAAGGTGAGGATGGTCACGTTGGAGGACAGCCCCTTGGGTACCTCCTGCAGATCCTTGTAGGCGCACTCGGCCAACAGCCGCCCGTTCTTCTTGGTGGAGCAGGAGCAGGCGCTGGGACAGGCCAGGCAGGGCCCCAGGAGCGTGGCCAGCCCCAGGCAGCAGAGCAGGGGCCTCATCCTTCCTCCTGGGAACAGAGATGGGGGCAATGAAAGGGACAGGTCTAGTCGAGATGGGGATCTGCTTTTCTTGCCAAATATGAAGAGGAAGTAGCAGAAGAGCAAAGTATCCATGTGACTATCCCCAGCACTTCAGCTGGAAAAGGCTGTTTGAAATATTTCCTAATCTGAAGAAGGCATTTCCTTGCCAAATGCCTTTGATTACCTACGTGAGTGGGGAACTTCCCCCTAAACCCTCTCCTTCCTCCACTAGAAAATGCCTCTCTTTGATCTTTGATGAAATATCACACCCCAGGATGCTGTTTCCTCAGGTTTTGGGACGAAAAGTGGGAGCTGGGGATTCAGAGTTCACCCTGCTGAGGCTGGAATTAGGAGAAACAGAGTAACCACAGCTCTTTCTCAACCAGCCTTCCCCTAAAACCATCAAGTTGTTCAGATTTTCAGCACGCTTTCAGACCTCAAACCAACCCCCCATCTCCATATTTTTCCATGTCATGGAAAAAAACAGCTTCTCGTGTGTTTTTTTCAGCAAGAGAGTGTGGGGTCCCTGGCTGCTGCAAGTCTTTAGAGGAAATATTTCCGAGCTAACTCCTTACTCCCCTTCTTCTTGCCTTGCAAAGGGGACTGTGCACACTCGCTTCCCGGTGTATGGAAGCTGTGTCCCACCAGGGAAGAGGTTAACTGCGGCTCTGCGAGGAGCTGGCAGCGAGACCCCTTTGTCTCTGCCTTGTAGGCAAGTTTTGCAGCTCCTGCCAGTCTCCAACCCTGTCATTTAGAGAAGGGGGGGGGGAGATAGTTTATTGGTAAAGGAGAGGCTGAGTAAGACCTGCACAATAAATGGGGGGGCCGTAAAATGGGACACAAAGGGTCCTGTCCTGCAGGGATAGACCACCCCAAGTCTGGGTTTCAAGGGGTGCGAAGGAGCCCCGAGGCTCTGAGGGTGATGGAGGGGTGAGATTTCAGCAGTCTGGGGGGGGGG